AAATTGTTTTGGTTGTCCATGAGACTGGGTAGTTGCTTTTTCACTACCATGATTTTTAACACTACATTCCTTGTCTTTTTCTTTTTTTGTCTTTTTTAAACAGGTGATTTTAAACTCTGCGATACATCATGCTATGCCATCTGCATGAATTTTGCCAGCATGATATGCTATATTCAAAGAAAGTATACCTAAATAAAAAGGAAGGGGGGGGAAACAAAACACTGTGTCTGAAAAAAATATTTTATGGCCTAATAACAGAGACCCCAGCTATGACTGAGAGATGCTGCATTAATAGACAATCAATCAATGGGTAATTATTTATGAAACACTTTTGGGAATGGTCTTAAAGATGTAACTGCTTTGAAAGCAGTTGGTGAGCTGTCTTTTTCTAACAAGAAAGGTAAAAAATATTTATTTTCAAATATATCAGATTGAATTTTGAGTTTTTAAGCAGTGTTGATTTCACAGTGTCTTGGGTTTCAATTTTGTTTTGTATTTTTTTAACTGGCATTAGATTTATATACGTGAAAGAAAACAATCAGAAAAACCCTAGTGCCGTTCATATTGACGTCAGGAAATGTAGATACAGTTCCCTGGTGTTCATGTGACCATTACTAACTGTCAATTTTTTAACTGAATAAATGTAACTCATTTAAAATTTTGCTTTCTGTAGCTTCTAAGGTTCTAGAGGTTTTTTTCTGAGTTGCTTGATGTCAGTTTTATCCAAGTTTCACAGTGAAGCGCTCTTACCCTTCCCACGACTGTACCAAAGGCACTCTCTCCCCCACCCACAGAACTGACTTGTGAGAAGTTGCTTGATGTCACTTTTATCTTCTCTCCCCTACCCAGACAAATGACTTGTGAGATTTCAGTAAAATGCATACTGTATTTTTTCCTTGTCTTCTCTCTGTATCTCTTTATAAACGGATGCCCCACTCTAAAGGCTAGAGACCTCTGATTTGTGTATTTACGTTACTGCCTTGGAATTTACTCACACAGCACTTGATTGAGTGTGCACAACTTAAAACTGCTTTCATACCTTCGTGTCTACAGTTCCTGTTCTTGCCAAAGGATGGAGCAGCACTGCAGCAGGTTTGGTTGGGCAGAGCCCTTCCCTCATTTTCTGTCATGGGCAAAACACCCCTCTCTTTAAATTGGTGCCACTCCCCATCCCGGGGTATTTTTTCTGCTGGTGAAATGTCAAAGAACAGTATTTTTAAAGGAGTAGAGGTGGTCTGAAATGTTGGCTGTGCCACTGAGCAAGGAAACAGACTTGCATTTAGCTGCAACCACAACTTGTTGAGAGCATGTAGCTCCTGCCTGGAAGAGCTGTGTGATAATATGTAACCTGTCAGGGCGGTCTGACCCCATTTTCACTGATCAAAGTGTAAACATTAATAATTCTAAATGAATTAAATGTTCAGGGAAAGGAGGGCGGGAAGAAAATTGTGTAATTGAAATTAAATGCCTGGAGAAAACGATAAATACAGTTAGCCATTTTTACAGTCTGTAGTACTTTCTTTTTCTGTAATATCCCACTGGATCCCCAGAGGAAGATACTGATCTTTTGCCTTTGAGAATTAAATAATACTTGTGCAAGCTGTATATTACTTCTATATGCCATGAGGCCCCTGAGCCCCAGGAATGAAACAACATCAGCTGCAGAAGTCCTGTAGCTGTAGTTAAGAACTGTCACCACCCATCAGTGATAAGACTGAGAGCATGGAGCAAGCAAGTTTGTCAATTTTCTTAAAATCGAACTTTGGAAAGAGTAGTACATTTTTCCATAAACTTATCTTGAAGAAGAGTGGTCATTATAACTCCTGCCACACCTGTAGCCATTCTATTAAATGGAATTTTGCTGTCATGCAAGCTTGAAAACAAAACCCATGTTTATAAGAGAATGAAGCCATTAAGTACTTGTAAAGATTAGCAATCCAAAGGTTAGTTCCACTTCTGAGTCTCAGACATTAGTGATACAAATTCCAGATTTCAGCTGTTTGAGGGTAACATAAAATAACAAGAGCCTTACTAGCATTCTTGGTAGCACAGTCTCTGTCACCGTCAGACCCTTTGGCAAGTACATTCTCCCTTGGGAAAGAAAAGGAAGTAATTCCAAAGAAACACACAGCTATCCTAGTGCCCACATCAATGGGAAATGCTACAGAAATGACCCTGCATCTCCATTAGCAGAAGCCTGTAGCTGTAACTTGCCAAGGGTGCTGACTTCAGGGGCCATACAAGGTCATCTCTGGAAAAATGCCACGTCAGTACAGCAAGTGCCATTACATCATTATTTCCATGGCTCTGGAAATTAACAATAAGTCAGATTATATTAGGGTGAAACAGTCTGATCCTCTTGATTTAAGATCGGATTTTGTTTTTTACATACACAGTATCTGGGACAAACATGGAAGTACACTGAACTACCAACCTCTTTCTAGAAACAAAACCACTCATGTAAATCTGGTGGCAGCGTTCCAGAGCCAGCCTGAGCAGGAGGGGCAGCTGAGGTGAGGGAGGAGCCTGTATGGCAGCCGGCTGCCACTTGCAGTGCTCAGGAAACAGCCCCTCTCTCACTTCCAGCTTTTCCAACCTGGTGTCTGACTCATAGATCTCAAAAACAGCAAGCCCAGGCACCAGCCCAGCACACACACACCTGCTGACATTACCCTAGGAAAAGCAGGTTTGCTGGTGATCTGGTCCTGTACTTTGGTTCAACAGGTTTCCTTTGAAAAACTTTGTCCTGGCAGGATGGAAGATTAGTTTGCTTCAGTCTTGGTTTATTGCACTTTGCCATATACAGAGTAATTAGACAGGCTTTATCTAAGGATTGGGAATAGGCACCTTTTAAAATAACAATCACAACCTTTTCTCAATGTAAACATCTCAGTTGATGTGAGAATTTTCCATCCCAGTAGAACTGACCATCATCTCCATTTGACTCCTACTGTGTGGAAGTGAGGAATCGCTGGCAGTGTGCACTGGCAAACCTCTGCTGGTGCAATGTGCAGTCAGAGCTGTAAATTCCTGCTTTACATGCTGCTTTCGAGGTTCCTTTGGCAGCAGCTGCAATCAGCTGCATCTCACCCCAGCAGGGAATATTAATTTAAAAAATCAGGACGGATGGAAACCTGTGGTGGACCATTTCCCATGTTGCAGACACAATAGTTTGCAGACCCTTCCCTTTAGCGCTCTCACTCACTGCATTTCACATTCTCCAGCTACAAAAGAACAAGAAAGCCCACAGGACTGTGGCAATCAAGGCTTCAGCTGGTTACATTATATATAACTGCCCATACACACTATATTGCTTGTATCTCAAGTATCCAGGTATTTTGAGACAGAACAGCAGCACACCCCTCTTGCTGGCAATGTGCTGCAACAAGAAGTCTGATAAAAACTGCTAAAATCCCAGCCCCCGAGCCAACCAACAGGTGAGAGCTGGCCAGGGTGCAAGTCCTTTGAGACACTGGAGGGACAAGGCCATGTCCTGGAAACTGCACTGCAGACACAGCACTGCTAAGAATACGTACCTGGATCCCTCCATCACCTTCAAGTCTTTCCTTATGTCCCAACTTGATTCTTTAAACTGTGAAAAATTCCAACAGGCACTTGACAGCGTTAAATCAGTCACTAGTAGCAAATACTGATGCACCTTTCAAAGCTTTTACTAAAATTTCACGAGCTATCTAATTGCATGCTAGACTTCCAACAAGTCCATGTTTGTGCTTTAAAAATAATAAAAAAGCTACTCTAACAGCACTATTCAAACTAACCTGCCTAGCTGGTCTTTGAGAGCAGCCAAATACATTGCTATGGCTGGGCAAAAGCAGTACTGGGCATCTGTGTAAGTTTGTAATAGTAAAATATAGATGTAGAAGTTGCAGAGATTTTTTCTGCAACTTAACGCTCACCTCTATAAACAACCTCTTGAAGGGCTTCATTCTGCTGATCCTATGATCCTAACTTTTCACATCAAAAATAGCATTAAACAGCACACATAAACTTTGGGAAGCTTCTACAATTAAGAGCACGGTGAACTGGGTTTTAGATTTTCAGAAAAAAACAATTCTGTGTCTTTTCCCAACTACATTTCTATTCCTAAAAAGAAAAATCAGGTGGCACCACAGTTACCCTGCCTGGGATGGGTCTGTAAGAACGTCCAGCAGCACTACTTCTGATTAACACAACAAGAAGTTGTCCCACAAACAGTCAGAAGTTTAGGCTCTTCCTTGCAGTTCCCTGTTCCTGCCTTGTTTTAACATGACCTTTGCTATAAATGCACTCCCTCCAGGAGGTGAAACTCATCATGGACAGTGTGGATCCTTAGACTGTGGGAAAGAAAAGGCTACAGGTTTTGGCTACAAAGTTTGCTTCAAAAGAAAACAAAAACCAAAAAACCCAAACAAAATGCCTTAAAACAACCCAAAAAAAAATCAAAGCACCAAACCATACAATTCCTTTGGGCCAAAACAGGAACATGTGGACCTGGAGCCCAAAATGGCAGCCTGTTTTCATACCACTGTGATTGCCTGCCATTACATTGCTATGGCCTTAAGAGTTTGAGAAATGTGGCATTAAGGGGTTTTCTGGAAAGAGAAACCTAAGAGAAGGATTAGGGGCTGTTCTGTTTCTGATCTGCAAATGGAATGGTCAAATCTGTAATGCTCCATTAGTACTTCAGCTTCAAAAAAGTCACATTCATAATATTTGAAACCATGTCTACTACCTTCCAAGACTGCTACAAGGTAGATCTCAGTGGGTTACACAGGCTCAAAATCCAAGTCACCATTGGAGAGTAGAGATAAGCCTGCATTTCTGCAACTCATGTATCTTCAGTGCTCAACATTTTGAAAGGCTTCGTAACACCGGCATTTATCAGAAACTAAAATAAATTTAATAAACTTTCCTCACCTGAAGTACATAATCACTAGGTAAACCTTTGTGGCAGGAATTATGGCAGCCATCAAAACCAAACTGAAAATAACACAAATTGAGACACTATGTTTTATTAATAATCTTCCAGATTACATTTCTAGTTCTAAAAATAAAAATCAGGAATACATCTAAACCTATGAATTCCATTGCTGCTCAGTCCTGGGAATAGAACATGGTTAAGTTGGACCACTTAATTACTTTCTGTGTACCTTAATATATAAAATAAAAAGAAATCAAATAATACTAGCTCCCGCCAGATTGCATATTAAACACAGTAGGTTGTTAATCATCCCACATAAATTCCTGATAAAAATCCCTGATTAAGAAGTTTTCCCTCCAAATTAAGTTTATAACATTCTCTGTTGGTGGCTCAGCCACTGGATGGCATAGGTTCCAGAACCTGCTGCCAGGTTTCTTGTTGCTTAGATTATCCAGCCTCAGGTGCACCATGGAACCACCATCTTTGGAGGTGGAGCCAGCAGTTTTCTCCTTAACACAGTCTGCTTCAAGAGGCCTGAAGAATCAGCTCTTGAAAAACCAGGAAAGGTGGTTGTGTGTATCAGAGGAAGAAAAGAGGAATTCTCAACACTTCGGAGAGTAGATCCTTGAACTCAGCTGAGCCAGGTCCAGCAAGTGAGAAAACCACTCAAATCCCACCACGGGAGCAGGCACCACAGCACAAACAAACCAGACAATAAGCAGATCTCCAGTGCAGAAGCTCTCCATGAATGCATCAGTCCCATGAATCATCTGCTATAAAAAGTTCAGTGTCTCATCTTCAGCATTGTTTAACTAGAATTCTGTACATTATATACAAAAATCCACAAGGATAACTGCTTGATGCTTCCAATCCTTGTTCTTTTACAGCAATGAAAAATTTTAAAAACCAGAGTCTGGACTTATAAATAGTGCAGAAAATGCAAATGCTAAGAAGACAATGCCTCCTATGATTGTCACTGAAAAGAAAACACAAAACAAGCAGAAATTAGATATCAAAAAGTAATTATCTTCCATGACACATTACAGACGTTATTTTTTCAAAATGTCTGATTCCCAAATAACCATACTTAATTCATGCTACAAGCAGTGGAAGTTGTTTCTAGCTGAGTATTGGGATGCCCATATACCAACCCACTGTCTAACTGCATCTCCAAGGATATTTTCTGGCCCACAGAAGGAAGCTTTGTTTTACTCATTACTGGAGACAGTATAAAACTAGGTTAACACCTGCTGTTGAGTATTTGGCTGTATGGCAGAAAATAGGATAGGATATTCTCATGCCAGAGCAAGCCATCAATTGTATATTATATATATACATATATTTAGCATTTTTTGCACATTTTAGGCAACTATATTGAAAGAAAAAGTATAAAAAATGTCAACTGTTTGCAATATCCACAATCTGCTAGAGGCTAGGACAGAATTCTGGGAAAGCACCACTGTATATGTTCCCTGACTCTTTAAACAAACCAACATCCTAGAAGGATCTTTGGTTTAATCTAAGGCTGTTTCTGTGGCTCAAGATCCACACTGTGCTTGGAGCATATGAAACCGTTGTTAGATTAGCATTTTCTCACCAATTTCCTCAACAAACAAACACAACAGAGTGCATGTTTCACTTTTAGCAGTGAAGCTGGTTTTTTAGCACCTCTGCAACTACAGAACAAACATTCTGAATGAACATATATAGGAAACAGCTTCACAGGATTATTCTTGGGAGCAAGAAATCTCACCACATCATAGGACTGACAGTGGAAGCAAGCTGCAACCTAAGTTAAGGAAAAACACACAAGCCCATGTAACCTCACTGGTCCTGCCTGCTGCAATTAGCAGGTATGATTAAAAAAAAACAAACACTTATGCCATACAGAGTAGTTTTTACAACTTTTAAATGGCTGGTGTAAGTCATTAGGATGCAATTCTCTTGCTCACCTGACAGTCTAGACTCAGAATGGCAAGAGAATTTCTATTATCCAGTGTCAAAAAATAAATACTGATCATTTAAAATTCCTTCCTCTGGTCTCCTAAAAGAAGTAGCCAATAGTGAAGCAAAACAAGGTGGGATGCAAGACAGACTCAAAACCAATCCCTGAATAACCCAAAACAAAGCACCAGTTTTTATGGGTTTTCCAAAAGTTTCGAGAAACACTGTTCCCAAGCATGCAGCTCTTTACACCACAAACATTACCAGCATTACATTTTTTTGGGATGGAGTGAGTTTTCACTTACCAGTCCTAACAGAAATTTTTTGTGCTATCATTCTCCCTCCAATAACTGCTAAACCAGTGCATAGGCAATGTCCCACCGTTCCTCCTACTGCCACACCATAAGGGTCCTAAGGGGGAAAAAAAAGCACAAAGGGATAAATTGGCACTGTTGAAAACCCACTAGTCCTACAACAATCTCAGAGCAGTGCTTTGATTTCCTGGTTGCAGACTGCCAAGCATGGAGGATAGTGCCTGGTGATTCCTCTGCTCTGCTGTTCAGCACTGACAAAGACTAGTAATAGTGAACATCAGCTGGTGAGACAGACTTAAACCCAGCCTAAGATAGGAGCATATGGCATGTTTCAGCCACGCAGCATCTTTAATTATTTGTTAATTATAGATCTTTGTTAATTATAGATCCAGAAATCACTCTGCTGTAGTTAAACCAATAAGCAACCTCTAGAGGGAAGGTGGCAGTTGTTGAAAAACACAATATGCATCAGCTGCAAGAACACTAACCTATCTATAAAGAAGGAGAGAGATAAGTCCTTGAACTGTAAATGAAAGCTTTCAGCAGCATTCCAAGTTCTTTGCCCTGCTTCTCCCACTTGTGCTCCACACTCTGCCCTGCTCCACCATCCAAACAGGGAAGGATAAGCATGAAAGATTTGAAGTCCGGAGGACAATAAATTATTTTATAATTTACTGTCATGAACAGCTTTTCAGTGTGTGAACAACTGCAGTACATAAAGAGGTTTCTCAGATCTCCTTAGAAATTACACAGCTAAGGACAGCATATGTCCCCTGCTCATCTCTATGTGACACTTTTAGTTCCAAGAGGAAAAAAAAAAGCTGCTGCCCTCACCTAAAGAATGCATGAAATCTCAAAGAGGTGAACAGCAAAACTGTCTAAGAAACTGTGGTTTGAAGACAACACTTACTAGCCCAAAAGAACCAAAAACACAAGCCGGTGAGAAAAGGTGGCAAGCACCAAGCAGTCAGCAGGCTGGAAAGCACCAAGAAGTGCAGGAAAGCAGGGCTGGGCCAGCAGAACAAACAGGCCCCCAGGAGCAGGACCCAGAATCCCTGGATATCCCTACAGCCAGCAATTACCTATACAGCCCTCAGTGGCAGAAGGTGGATCTCATCCCCACATTCCATCATAGTTATTCACTGGTTTTGAAAGCCAGTATCAAGATACCTTCAATTAATTTTTTGTTTGGTAGCACTCTTATGAACATTTCATATTCTACAGGTACAGCCCACAGGCTTTAACTACAATGCTCAGCACTTCACAAACCAGACTAAAGAGCTGACACGCACTTCCTAAAGGGACACTTAGGAAATGCAAACCAAAAGTAAACAGATGTAAAAAGATGGGCTTAAGCAACTTGCCTAGCAAATAAGGCAGAGGCTGTAGTGCTTCGTTTTTTTTCCAAGAACAATGAGATCATCCTCTACTGCTGTTAGCTCTAAACACCTTCCCTACACTGTAACAGAGACAGGAGGTTCCTGCAGGTTACAGCCTCCTTCATTACACAGCCCTGATTTATCCCTAGGGAACATTTGAAAGTGCACCTGAAAGAAGCATAAGTCCTAGGGAAAAAAATGCAAATTATCTCAATGCATGAAAGAGCATAGGCAAGCTACTTATGTTTATTAAAAGCTTGACTATAAGCCTTCATCTTCCTTTAAGGGTAATACAGCTATATACACTCTAATCACCACAATGAATATGATTTAAATTACAGCATTAGTTAGTGCCCGGCAGTTTAGAGTTTATTGTCCTTCTATACACTGTACCATATTAACTCATATTTTAACAAGAGGTATCTGAGAAGGTCATCTTTCTAACAGTTTAAACCTTGATGGAATGGAAGTATCTTTTAAAGTTACCCAGTTAAAACTGAATGACCACAAAAACCAAAGAAACACCTCTTCTGTAACATCCCTCAACTGTAACAAAACCCAGTTGATGTCAGCTGCATGACATAAAGCAGCTATTTCCAGAAATGCCAGTGCAGTTCCAATCATGTAACAGTAGTTTTAATACTACAAAGAGCTTCAGTGCATTTACTGTCACGTCTTGACACAAACTACATAAGGCACATCAAGGCAGCAGGTGTGAATCTGATAGCTCCTGCAAGAGTATTTTGTTTCTTATCCCTCTATGGCAACCCAAAGAAGGCAAAAGAACAGCAGGGATTCTGCAACACTCACCTCTCTGGCAGCCAAGACTATGGTTGTTAATTGGGAACGATCGCCCCATTCTGCTAAAAATGTTAAAGTAAAAGCTTGAACAAAGATTGGTGAAATAAAGTGTAGCCACTTCTTCTGAGGTATAGTGGTGCCTGGCCCAGATTCCACATCTCCTGGCCCATTTAACAGTTTAGTTCTCTGAAGAGATGTAGGTCAAAGGAAAAAAAAAAAAAACCAAGAAATAACCATAAAATTAAAAATCATCCAAACAACCCAAAAGAAATACTTAAAAATAAAGGTAGATATTTCATTTCTAGAATGTTACTAGCCACTGCCTGCGGCATTATCAACATACTTATACAGTCACCATGACAAAAAAAAAATAGCCATATATACACATACTGTGTATACATAATATATATGCATACTGTGTATGTGTGTATACACACATATATATAGCTGCAATCAGCTCTAACCTTTGATTACTGTCCATCTTGTACTGCTCATAAATAAAGTGTCTGACCATTAGAAGTACTGTGTATGTGTGTATACACACATATATATAGCTGCAATCAGCTATAATAATCAACCTTTGATTATTGTCCATCTTGTACTGCTTATAAATAAAGTGTCTGACCATTAGAATAAATAAAAGTTGAGCCAAGAATAAGCTGTTGGTGTCCCCCCTGCTAGCAATGCATTAAAAACACGTCAAAAACACCCACACTAAGCAGAAGGCTCCTTCTCTCCTAAGAAGCCAGGCTTGCCACAGGACTGGAATCACCTGCTGAAAGAGCCTTCAGGGAACCACTTACATCCCATCTACCACATATTTCCTGTGTCAGTTTATCAGTCACAGACATAGCTGAACAACCCAAACATGACAGTGCTGCTCTGCAGCTTCACAGCTGCAATTTTTCCACCAGCTGTAACTAACAGCAATTTCACTACTTACTTCCTCATCTTTTTTTTTAATTTCTGCTTGAACTTCCTCCAGCTCTTCCTGACCTTCATCTGGACTCATTTTCAAGCCTTCCCGAAGCATTCGGATGCCAAAGATTGCAAACAGTGCTGTTGACACATAGTACGTGTACACACGAGGAATAACCGTGGTGGCATAGCCAAACAAAACTGAAAAGAAAACAAATGTGTCATTTAAAAAAATAAGCATGAGGATCATAATTGTTTTTCCCACATCTAAGGAATGCTTGTTAGCAAAGTCAGCAATCCAAATATCCACTGATAAATAAATCTTTTGTTAGTTTTGTATAATTTTCTAAGTTTTTGGAAGATAACATGCTAGAAACTCCAACCATTACTGCTTATGCCAGAGACTGAAGTCCACTAAGACACAGACAATGCACTCCAGCCAAAGCTGAGGTGCTGCTGTTCCTGAGAGCCAGTCCAAACAACATTATCTTTCCCATCAAGGTCTATGCAAGTCCTGCCTTCCTCCATACACACCATTAAACTACCATCTGTAATTGTGTTGGATTAGTCATAGTGTTCTCCAGTTAATTCCATTTACATGTTAGATAGCATCTCTTTCCAATAATTTCATTTATCAGATGAAGTCAGAATAAGATTTTCAATGAGGAAAATCTACCAGGCGTATCTACAAATCATCCAGCTGGGTGAATCCATGTCTGCCTTCCTTTGCCAAGTGCACATTGCTATTCCCTTGTTCCCCATATTCCCCACATACACACAATGTGACCAACTTTGATCTTTCTTTATTTCAAAGGCAGATCCCACTTACTGAAAAGCAACCTTCACAGCATGTCTTTTAGAGGTATTGAGGGTGATTAAACTAAGCCAAAACTAGTTCTTAAATAAGAAATATGTATTCAGAACAAAGTACCTTGTTTTCACAAAATAAGCCCACTCAGCATTTTTTTGACAGGAAAAAGGCCTATATAAATGGGAAGGACTAAAAAGTCCACACCTTATATTCAAGATTGTTTGGACCATGCACTCACAAGTGTTTCTGTTACTTTATTCCACATGCAATTAGCTAAAAGGAAGCATATTACCACGTGCTTTTTTGTACACACCTTTTTAGTTGAAAAATGCACTCAGAAGTTACTATGTGATCTAGAAATAATTCTGCACTGCCACTACCAGAAGTAAGAATGAGACCAGAATTAATCAGCCTTATTGCTCATAAACACAGCACATACATACACATACAGCAGTACTATTTGCAAAGCTAAACAAACCAGGAGTTAAACTAAACTTCTTTAAAAAGACTGAAAATACTGCAGTAAAACAATGCAAGAAAGCTAGACAAAAAGGCTACTTCTTCCAAGCATTTCTTACATATATAAGCACAGACACAGTGAAACAATCAGAACTGTAAGACAGTTTATTTTGTCAAGCACAGCTTGAAAAAATATCCCAAGTAGATTATTTGGACCTAAAGAGTTTAAGTGAGTATGCCTTCATGAAATCAAGGTGGGCAAACCCCTCAGGAATTTCCAAACTCAGCTTGTATAAAACAAGGGCAAGAGACAGGAGAAGGAAAGGGTATGGGGGAAGAAGAACTAAACAACAAGTTCCTTTCTGAAAAGGGAATAAATATTTGGGAACCTCTAAACTGGGGGATAAAAGCAGAAAAGGAAGCTTTTATGAGAAAGCATTAAGAAAGGTTTGAAGAAAGAATTTGTATAGAAAAAGAGAGACGTAATGGGCAGGAGAAATTACACACAATGCAAGTGGAAACTGCTCTAACTAAAGCTGCAATAATTGCAGCAGTGTACACAGCAACAGCCACACACCCAAAAACCATTCACAGAAACACTTGCCAAGCAGCCTGCGCCAGTGAACTGGCTGTCTCCTGTGTGTGTAAACCAGTCACCACTACTTCAAGCATTTCTGAAATGGGCATGGTTAGAAATGAGCACACAGACAAACTCTGTGCTGCATCTGATGTACCTGAAGGCTGCTCCATTTTACCATCACAGCTACCTAAGTGCCCATGGCTACAGGCTCCTCAAGTGCCCCCTGACACCTCACTTCCCGCTCCCGCCCCTCCATCTTCCACCTACACAGCTCCCAGCACAAATCCAAACAGCCGTGTGTGCAGGAATACAAGTCAGATGAGGAAAGTGTGTCATCATATAAAAAATCTTTTGCCTTAGGAGGAAAAACAGAAGCCACTCCCACATTCCCTTTAGGCACACTAATTTAACAAGAGGTAAAAAAAAAAAAAGTAAACCAGTCCAAAAATCAAAGGAAGTGCTTAGGCTCTCCATCTCATTCCCCTTCCTTAAGCTCCAGCTGAAGCCTAGGGAACACACAAAGACTTCATGAGAGGAAAGAGCCTAAATACTCCATCTGAGATTCCATGCTCCACAGGAAAAGCTTCACACTCTCCTCAAAACAGAAAACTGCACATATGTACTACCCGCATTCCACTTAAGGTTTTTGTATAAATACATACCCATCACTTCTTAAGAGATAAAACAACTGAAAAACCAGCACGCTAACCTGATAAACACGTCATCAGTCCCAGGGCCAGCATAGCACCAGCCAGCACAGTCAGGCGGTTGTAGCGCATGGCCATGATGGCCGCGATGAAGAAGGTCTTGTCGCCCAGCTCCGACACGATGATGACCGATATAGCAGCCACGAAGGCGTGAATAAAGCCCAGGTTAGTTTTGTCAGCTGACTCTTCACTGACTATGTGCACTGGAGCAACCAGTGAGGAGCCTTTCTGTAAGAAGGGGGGGAGAGAAAAAGACAAAATAAATCCTAAACACTCGTCAATTAGGCTTGAATGCTTAGTACACAGAAATACAAAGCCTTGTATTTCTTCAGTCATATCATCATGTGTAGAGTGACATTTTAAGCAGATACATCTCTCGTGCTCATTAATAATCATTAACTAGTTCCTCGCTGCCACCCACCTCAAATTGCCAGTTAGGCACTTGGTAAGAGGATCCTGCTGATTATTTAAACATTACTTCACTGTGCATGCTATTACCAGAACATGAGAACCACCATTACAACAAAACGTGGCCAGCTCAGGTCCAATATTGTCAATCCCCACTGCCAATATTTAAAATCCCTACCCATTTTATGACTTTAACTGTGAACAGTTTTCTGATATAAATATTAGTAAGTGCTTCAAAATAAGACTGGATGACTACAATACCTTAGGAAAAAAATAAGCCCATTCAAAAATGGTCAGGATCATTTTCTTCCATTGCAAAATCTTTGCATCTCAGATGCATTAAAATTTCATAGATTCACAGAATGGGTTGGGTTGGACAGAACCTTAGCAATCATCTAGTTTTAAGACCCCTGCAATGGGCAGGAACATTTTTCACTAGACCAGATTGCTCAGAGCTCCATCCAACCAGGCCTTGAACACTTCCAGGGATGGGGCACCCACAATTTCTCTGGGCAAACAGTACCAGTGCCTAACCCCTCTCACATGAAAGAATTTATTCCTATTATCTAGACTACATTTTTCCTCTTTCCGTTTGAGTCCAAGCCAAATTCTCTGTCAGCTTCCATCAGCTTCTCCTGCACTTGCTCTGTGTTTGCAGAAAACGAACTTTAAGACTCTCCAGTGGTGAAAGCAGACCAGCACACTCAGTTCCCACTCACCCACTAAGTGTCTACTTCTACACACAGTAAGGTATCTGTGATCACAGGCAAGGCCCAAGATCTCTATACCGATGTTCACATCCCTGACCAGGGATGGCTGAGAAAGCTTGTTCCAGCACATCCACCAGCAGAGACAGCCCGCAGCGTGTTTTGACATGACAGCTTCCCAGCATTCCACTTTCAGCAACGCTCCAAGTTTCCTGGTGTTGATATTTAGCTCCCACGCTCTGTGTGACACGCTGTGACTTCCCAGAGCTCCTTCACCTCTCGCAGCACTCTGTGTTTTCTGGTTTGTGTGTGTGACACCCGGCGTGCTCGATGTGCTACACCAAGCCACACGTCAGGAATTTTCCATCCCTCTGTGTGATCAGTGGAACTAGAATCCCCTCACCGAGAACACTGTTGAGTAAGTTTTAACGCAAAGGAATTGATATTAGTTGTTGAGAGAAAAAAAAACCTGGCAGCTTTGGATCAGCAACAGAGCCTGCTTTCAGCTGCTTCTGCGGGGGAAAGAGAGCACTGGCCCCTTCCCCACGCCGGACATAGATGTCCCTCTTTCAGCAGAGAAAGGGGAGGATGAGGTGGCCCTGCAGCCCTCCTTTTTTTCTGCTAAAAGCGGGGAATTTCGGAGCCCGACGGCCTCCGGAAGGCGCAGCGCGGCGCCGGCCGAGCGCTGCCGCGGGGGGCACGGCGCGGGCAGCCGGCGCGGCCCGTCCCCGCCTCACCTCAGCCCGCGGCTCCGCTCCCTGCGCCGCCGGCGGTGGCGGGGGCTCCTTCTTCCTGCCGGGCTCTTCCTCGGGAGCGGCGCGGAGCCGCGCCGGGGCCGCCAGCAGCAGCGCGGCCGCCAGCAGCAGCGCGGCGGCCCGCGGGCCCGCCCCGCCTCCCGCCGCGGCCCCGCCGCTGTCCGCCGGGGTGCCGGGGCCAGGGTCGCCACCCCCGGCTCCCGGCGTGGCGAGGCGACGGGCAAAGGTGGCTGTGCGGCGTTCCCGCGGGGCGGGCGAGTCCAAGCGCGTCCCTTCCCCGTTCGGGGTTGCTTACGGGCAGGGAAAGGGCGCAGCGGGAGGGACGGGCAGCGGCTGCGTCAGGCGGCAAAAAAATCCGCATAGGAACACGGGCCACGCATAGGCCCGGACACGTCTCGGTTTCGTTCTTGGCCTAGTGCACAGCAGCGCTTCATGTGTGCGTGAGCCCAGCAGGGCCCCGAGCACGGAATCACAGAGCGGGTCGGGCTGGCAGCGACCACAGCGGCCATCCCTCCAACCCCCTGCTCAGGCACAGCCATCCCGGAGCACGGCACAGGGCTGTGTCCAGCAGTTCCTGAATATCTCCAGTGAGGGAGACTCCACAGCCTCTCTGGGAAATCTGTTCCAGTGCTCAGTCACCTGCACAGTAAAGAAGTTCCTCCTCATATTCAGGTAGAACTTCGTGTGTATCAGTTTCTGCCCATTGCCTCTTGTCCCATTGGATGGCACCACCAAGGCAAGCCTGAATCCTCTTGGCACCATGCCCATCTTTAGATACTTGTAGACTTTGATGAGTTCCCCTCTCAGTCTCCTCCTGAGGATGAACAGGCCCAGCTTCCTCCACCTCTCCTTGTGTAAGAGAGATGCTCCAATTCCATAACAATCTCTGTTGCCCTTGCTGGATCTGCTCCAGGAGCTGCATGTCTCTCCTGAACTGAGGAGCCCAGAACTTGATACAGCACTCCCAGTGATGCTCTCCCTGAGGGCCCCAGGATAGCTGTGTGCCCTGATGCTCTCCCCAGAACAAGGAGAGGAATGTAGTTCCTGAGGAGCAATAAAGTGATTGCTCATGTTTTTAAATATGTAAACTCAGTTTTTAAAAACCATTCAAAATAGAAGCAGAGTGTAATAAGCCTTTAATTAGGCAATTCATAAGATATACTTCATTGAATAAAAATACTTCTTATATACAAAATAATGTGTGCATGTATGTAGACAACATGCAGAAACACCAGCACCCATATCACTTCATCACACAAAATGACCATTCACACCTGTGTCATGAGAAGGACCAAAATATTCAACAGTTAAGTGCAAAAAAAGTCCCTATGCTGAGTTACATTATCTCCCCAGTTAAGAATTTCTTTGCAGTGCTTGTCAGGTACTGTTTTCTGTGTGTGCTCTGCCTTGGCAGTTCATTATATCTGTTTAAAAACCAGTGTAGTCATGGTCATCTGCACAGCTGTCCCCTCCAACACACGAGGGACTCCAATAACCCACTATAGACAACAGAACCACAACAAAGAACATTAATTTTCAGCAAATTCTCTTCTACTGTCTTTTTAGTCAGAGGACCTTCCACTATTTTCCCAGTTTAGGGATAAAGCAGTCTTCATCAATGAACAAAACCACTGTGGTGCAGAACAGACAATGCAGCGAATGGGTCTGTTTATCTCCACTGCTGAGCATGAGTCACTCCTCCACCACAGCTTTCTCCATCGCTTTTTGTGCTTACAGTTGTAAAGAGAGGCTGATTTTCATTGTCACCAGGGAAGCACAGAAAGATACACAATTTGCCTCCCTCTGAAGTGATTCAAAGAAAAGAGACTTGGAAAGAAATATGCTTAAATATCAGTCACGACATAAAATACAGTAGTTCAAATGATTCCCTCCTTTCAATAGTTTTCACATATATGAATTTGGACTTGCTACACAACAGCAAGGTTTTATGCATAAGATATAATTATAAAAGAGAAAAGACACAATTAGCATCTCTCCACTTTGAATTAAGGTATTCAGTAAACCTTTTTTAGCTTGCATGATATGCAGAGACCTTACATTTCCTCAGAAATTGGTCACCTGGATGAGATTATCAATAAAACTATGGGCTTTTGAGGTAGAATTAGAGAAAGTGTGTTACTTTACCTTGGTTTTAATAAACCATTAATCTCTTACATTCCCAGTTTTCATGAAAATACTTTAGAAAAAATTCTCTAAAAAACAAGTGGTATAAATGCTTTTCGATGCTTTGGGTAGGAGCTAAAGTTTTTCTGATAAAACTCATGACACAAAACAGCAGCCAGTGCCTGGTTAAAAAGAACATACATCACTACACACCACCATGTCACATTGTGCATTCCAAGTGTGATAGCCATAGAAACATATATGAGGAGCTCTGCAAAATAATGAGGGCAAGAAACGCTCTCAAACCAGTCTCCAAAAGGTACACTGTGGCTCAGACTTACAACCTTTCCTGCAAGAAAACAGAAAGAAATTAATTGGCAAGATGCATTAAACAAACTCTTCTTCTCACAATTACAGAACAATATGCTTATTAATCATCATAATCTTCTCACAATTACAGAACAATATGCTTATTAGTCATCATCATCCAACCTCCATCTGATCTGGCAGCTTTGCACTTAATGAAATAAGATGCCACCTCTGGCTGTGCAAACACAGAGTATGGAAACCATGTCTATCCTTAAGATGTTAGAAGATAGAGCTTCATTTTGAGTTTTACAGAACTATATATACAGACATAGCACACCCTCTCCCCCCAGTTCAGCCATCCAAACAGCTTCATTTAATCTACACACTACAGAAACTGAGAAACACTTGTGTTTAAGGTATTAGAAGCTACAGAAGCCTATTGAAAAAAGCAGAAAAAAATACCTAAGTAAACAGTAGACAGAAATGAAACATCTTACCTGATCTGCTTTTTCTAAGATTAGCTAGAATTGCAAGGCATCTGTGTTGGTGAAGAGAGGCCCAAATGTACATCATAACTCCTATAATGTGATACCAGCAGATCTGCACAGAAGGCTTTTTTCCTGAATGAAATATGTTTTATTAATATACAGCTAGGAAGTAACTTCCCAAGCATCATCTCAAAACACTATATAACATATAGTGTTATAACATATATAACATATATAACATCTCAAACAATATGTATATAACATATATAACATCTCAAACAATATGTATATAACATATATAACATCTCAAAACACTATATGACATTTTCTCAGATGTAGCTGTCTTACAAAATTCTAGTAGTGAGCCGTTAATTCCTTGAAAGAGGCTTTGACATCCTGTATCATTTGAGTGCCCAGCAGTAGCTCATTTCCCTTGACTGCTCTATACTAAAATACCGAGTTATTAATCCAGCAGCTTGAAATACAGTGTGATGTACAACAACACATATTTGGTAGCCTTAAGACCTTAATATTCAACATTGTTTGTAACTATTATTATCCTAATTATGTCATGGCTCAGGTCAACATGCAAGCACACACTTGTCTTCCTCACAGCGACACACATACATACACACACACCTACATACCCCCCCGCCTGACATGGTTCAAAGTGCTTAAAAACTTCACCAAACTTGGTAAGGACTGCCTCACAAAAATTAGTCACAGGAGAAGTGCTACAGCCAGCTGATGGTTTGTCTGTGCAGAAGAATTAGCAGCTCAGTTGTGAGACCCACTGGAATGTGTTGGCAGAAACAAGTCATATAACACAAATTTCTCATGTGTTAATGGAAACAGTACCAAGGGAAAGAAGACACTGCCTGAGTCAAGGCAGAGCAGTGGCAAGTTCTCCATGGAAGAAAAAGGCGGTGGCCAAGACAGCCTTGCAGACTCAGCTTGCAGGAAAGCTTACCACAAAAAAAACTCCATTTCAGTTTGATAACTGAAGTTGTGTAGTGGCATTTGAGAACTGGTACCTATTACTGTCCTTCACAAAGCATATGATCTATATCCTTTCAGCAAATAACCATGATGGTTAACATGAAAGTGTGTCCCTGTCTGTGTTTGTGTATAATGCTGGCTGATTGTGTGATATACTGAAATGTAATTACTTTGAACTATGCCAGGAAGTACTTTTATGTCTCATCAGTTAACACACTTCTCAAACAAGCAGCTCTCTATGAAACTATTCATGACAAAACAAACAAATGAGAGCAAAACTGCATCTTTGATGATAACTAAGAAGGCACTTACCATTCCTGACATTAGTAGGCACTTGGCACAGCACAGTTGAGCCAACAGCAATGTAGTAACCAAGTCCAAAGCAATACTGCACGATATGAATGACACCACTGGAAAACACACTGGTCCAGAGGCATTCTGCAAGTCTTCGACAGCTATGCAGCCAAAGGAGCAAGAGAACCAGGAGCGCAGAGAAGTGCTCACTATCTGCTTACAGGTAAAAACCAGCAACTTTGAAACAAACAGGAACAATTTAACCCTGACAATACTTCAAAAGGACTCTTGTTCCCTCTTCCCACAGCACAATTTTACCCTCATTTTAAATTAACTGGGAAAAATATTTGTACAGAGGAGGCACTGCTGACCAGTGCAAGATTTCTTCCAGAAGGTGCTAATGGCCTTTTCTGTGAAAAGGACTGCTGAAAGCCAGCATATCCATAACTATTTCTATCTTCAATAATGACAAAGGTACTTGGTGTACCAGGAAATTAATTTGGAGCATAGTTGAAAAGCAACCAGTGAAGTAGCACTTGGATACAAATTCAGCACAGTGTTGTAATACAGTTTTTTATTTATATGGCTACATTATAATATCTAGAACACTTGCCCATGTCCTTGCTCTGAGAATTTGTGCCAAGAGCATG